AATATGGTGTTAACTCTTTGTTTCTGGACCTGGTATAGGCTACAGAGGAACGGCATAACAATCGTGGAGCATATATTGTCCTTAATCCACCTGATTTTGCTACTCCTGTTTTCCGTAGCTTCGAAGCTGTAAAGCCTCGACCTGTGGTATGTGACTCAATCCTCACTAATATACTCAGAACTACTTGATTTTGTAATGTGAGACTTAAACAATCAATCTGGAGTGGGGGAAACAAATCAATTGACCCGGAGTATCTTTTTTCTTTTGTTTTCCTATATATATGCAGGCCTTAGATGGTGTACATGATGCTGTCACCAGGAAGCCAACAGATGACTGTCCAGACGTGTCACTAATGTGCTTTTTCTAGCGTAGTGGAAACTAGAAATCACAGTTCAACTAAATCATACATCGTTATACTATCTGGCTTGAAATTCAATGTCCAAGTCTCGATCTTGTCCACCATCTTAGAGACTATTCTTTGGTTCCTTCTCCTTGGGCATGGGAAGTGAGCCTAGCTACTGATTGGGTGGGAGGTGTGGTTGTGCACCCAACCACTCAGGTTCAAGTCTCCTCTTGGCTTGAATTTGGTGCCTATTTTCTCTTATTAATTAATGAAAAGCGGCCTAGTTCCTCCTAGGTTGGATCTCGTTTTTTCTTCTCGTTGGGCATCACCGACCACTTCTGCACCAAGGATTAACCAGCAAAGATCACCTCAGTAGCATAGTTATTAGGACCGGACCGGAAATCGAACTGGTGAGACCGTCGGTTCACTGGTTCACTGGTCCAACCGTTAAGAACCGGTTGAGCCGCCGGTTCGATAGTTTTGGACCGGATGAATTGAACCGCCTACAAATACTTCAAACCGGTGTAATATAATGAAATATAACTGATAATTAGCAACATATAGTTGATCATATATACAAATAATCTAATAAAGAACATACTTATTTAACCATTTTCTAGTTAATCTAGCTACAATTATATATAAAAAAATATGCATGAAAAGATAATATATAGAGAACTTACTAATTGGTTCCAAAAAGACTTAAATAGTAATTTAAATACTCACGGTTATCAAAATAATCTCAAATGTTGAAATAGAGTGTACTATTGGGAAGAGCTCATCAAAATAATCAAGATGGATATATTATTTATTTAATTAAGAGAGCTCAATTTTTTTGGAAATTAAAAATACGGTGTCCAAAGTCAAGAAGTGCATGAAGCGTGGCAGGCAATGTACACACGCACACGTCACTCTCCAAACGTTCACAGCCCACACACGTCCTCCAAACGTTCACAGGCGCAGGCGACAGTAGCAGCCAGGTTGGGCCCAGCGGCAGATATGCACACGGGCAGCAGGAGACAATAGCGTGCACGCTAGGAGACCAGAGCTCCAGACCGGGACGGTCCAGACAGAACCGGCGGGTTCACCGGTTCCTTAAAAAACCGTCCGGTTCAACCGGTTTTTAGCGGTCTGATTGCATGAACGGTCTTTTAAGTGAACCGAGCCGGTGTAGTCTCTGGTTCGGTCTTTTACCGGTCCGACCGCCGGTCCGGTCCGGTCCAAATAACTAGGCTCAGTAGGAGGTTTAGCAAATTTTCTCACAATGGCCATCTTGTTCCTACTTCCTAGTCCTCCACAAAAGACCTGCAACCAAAAGAATCACAAAGCCACACTGAATCCCCATCCTACGGAGCCATTTCTCCATGAAATCCCACAAAGAACTGGAACCCCTTCCCACCCAAAAGTCTCCCAAATACAACTCAATTTAATTTGTGATGTTTTTAGAGGGTCGATGCGGGTGAACAGGACGTATAGCTTGCATACAAGTTAAATGCTTTACACCCGGGCGTCCAGCAGCACGGACGCTTGCTTAATGGGCCTACGGACCGGCTTAGGCAGCCTCCCGAATTCCTGCACGTAGTCCAGATTGTTTCCCCACTCCCGAACGTATCGGCCACTTCCACCGCTGTCTGCACAGCGACAGCCTCCGCCACGTCGTCCGCTCATCGTAGCTGCTACTCCGCCTCGTTGTTGCCACGCACACCTCACCTCACGTCGCGCGCGCCGCCCGTCCCCCCATCGCACGAGCCTCCCGTGCTCCCTCCTGTCGCTGGTGCTGGTGCTGGTGGTGCTCGCTCCGCCCGTGGTGCGCACCGCCCGCCGGGCGAGCCAAGCCGGGTGCTGGTGGCGCTGGCTGGTGGTGGTGCTCATGCACGCCGCTGGAGCTAGGTGCTAGTGATGGTGCTTGTGCGCTGTCGTGGCCTCGCCACCGGCTCCGACCCCAATGGCTGGAATTGACCGGCCCGGGCCTCCCCCATGTTGGAAACGCATGCATGTTTCAAGTGCTTCGGATGTTTCATAGGTTTGTTGCAAATGTTTCATACGGATATTGCAAAAGCAGATCAGGATGTTGCATATGTTGTAATGGTTGTACATATATGTTGCATGCTCCTGTTTTCAATGTTTCATATGTTTTTTTACATATGTTGCAAGTGTGCTTATCTGGATGTTGCATATGTTTTCACACATATGATACAAGTGTTTTATCTGGACTAGGTTCGTGCCCGTGCGTTGCTACGGGATAGTTAACATTTTATACTACTAAAAGCACACGGATCGCACGATAAGAAAACAATACTGTAAAATTAAATACCAACGTTAAAGTGATATTTAATCCAAAAAGCAAAATTTATGAAATTAACACAATCACGTAGAGCGCGGCATCGCAGGCTCACAAACCCTTCAACGATTCTCTTATGAATATTTTAGTTGTAGATCGCACACCTGTCAACGATTCTCATACACACGTGGCTTGCGGCTTATTACAAAAACATATAAAGTTTGTTTCATGATCTTTATCACCTGTAGATCTAGTTTGTATAAACCTAACAAAATTAGTTTGTATAACCTAACAAAATTTATTATTATGCATTTTATACTTTTAAGTTGATTTGATCATTTTTAGAAAATAATAAAAAGCTAATAAACATTTTTATTTGGGTACCCTAAACTTTTCCAAATTGATTCAAACATTCTTTTTATTTAGTTATGAACCATATTCTCTTTGTATTTAGTCCCCACATCCTTTTTTTTACCTACAGTATTTAGACTACAGTGATTGAAAATTCCGAAGAAGCACCACGTTTTTTAAAAGCACTATGTTTGTTTTGAAATGGATAAGAGTGTGTCAAGATCATCACCACCGGTTCTTGAGTGACCTCTTGCTGACCCCGGTTGTACTCCAGCGCTCCATAAAAAAAGATCACCATCGTCTTTAAATTAAATAAAGCTTCCGGTACCTTCCAAATACCCTTTTTTCTCTCTCTTTTTTTCTCTCTCTACCTTATCACCAACGCACACAGAACCGCACATGTGTATCGGCCTCGCACCTCCCGTTCTTGCACATGGCGTGGAAGCACCGTCGTCGCGGCCACAGGCCATTGCCGTACCTCCGCGCCGCCCTTGCCTGCCCTCCCAGGCGCCTCCGCGCATGTCCCGGCAGCGGCAGCCGCAGCCGCGCGCGACCCCCGGCTGCTCCTCCGTGATCACCGGTGGCGGCCGCGGCCGCTCGCAACTTTCGACGGCTCCTTATCCGCGACCGGCGGCCGCAGACGCATCTGTATGTATCAGTCTTCCCAGCAGCGACACCTCTGCGTCTGCGCCTACCCGCAACCCCGCCAAACGCAGCGGAGGCGCAGCTCAGACATAGCGGGCTCGTCGAGCCATCGGGCCTGCCCACCGCGCGGGGAGCGGTCGCCGCACCACCGCAAGGAACGACGCCGCCACCGGCGGCCTTCTTCCCTTCCTGGCCGACCTTCTCCGCCTCAGCTACGCCGTCTCCGACCGAGCGCCGACCGGATCCGGCCTGGCTGCACCGCACCCACACGCCGCACGCCGCTCCGAGTTCGCCTTCCCTCCCTCCGTGTCCGACACAGATCCGCAAGTACGCTACGCCGCCGTACGCACACGCCGGCGTCGTGCCGCTCCAAGTTCGGCTCGGCTTTTCCTCCCTCCGTGTCCGATGCAGCGCCGCCAAATTCCCTCCGCACAGCCGCGTTTTCCATGGCAGCAAGTTTGAATGAAAATCAGAATTGAAAACGAAATCAGCTCGGATCGCTACCGACGTCCCGCGCTGGTCGCACACGCCTCCCCTCGGATTGTTATATAGGTTGGCCTTCCCACATGCGTGCGCACACACCCAAATTCTCCGAATTCAGGCAACCATGCAATGCAAAGTCTCGGTACCATCAACGGTAGTATGACTACGAAGGAAACAACTCCCGCCATCTCCTCGTCTAACTAATTTAGGCACAAGCAGGGTACGATGCATTGACACCAGGGTTCTCAGGCCTTCTGGGTCACCATACTACCAAAGCCATCACGATTGAAACAAATCCACGACATGAATATGACACTTCAAAAAAAAAATGAAGATGTATAATTGTTCAGCTATCACACAAGTTCTCTGCCTAAAGGGTTCAATCAGAGATATATATATATATATATATATATATATATATATATATAATAGCAGTAACAAACTTTCACAGACATCGATGACAGGCTATGCAAAAGTATGTAAGAGCAGCACACGTTTTTTAACAAAAACAAAACAAGTAACAGACATGTACATATCATCGATAAGCGATGTCAACATGGGTGGGTGTCAGTGTTACCACTTACCATCAGGTAAAGGGCAGACACAACATAACAGCGCAACAACTTACTCGAAATAGTCACAAGAATTCCAGGAAGAAAATAACAGGACAGGAAATCAACATCAGCAGTTCATCCGCAGGGACCAAAGTGCGCATCCACACGGATGCCACCATCTCGTCTTCCCCAGCCAACAGGACATTTCCCCATGTGTACACAACCCATCCTCCGATTATTCAAGCTGTCAAGAGTAATGTATACCGCCTTCAGAGGGACCAAAGAATCATTTCCTTTCTTTTACCCTAGTAAGCCTGTTAAACCTCATCCACACCGCTGCTACTTATTTTTCTGGAGCAGCAGCTGCATGCACATTTGGCCTTTTGGCATCAGGAACACGCTTGGCCTTCTGCAGGATCGACTTCTCATACCTCTCCATCCCACGTGCTGACCTCCGCACGTTACACAACATGCAGTACCAGTTACCTCTCGGGATACATTCGAGAGGCGGAGTCGTGCAAAAAATGTGATAAGCATCATCACAGCCATCACACAATACTATTTCTTCATCATCCTTGTTTCTGAAGCAGCGTCTGCACAGGCAAGACGGGCAGTACCAACATGCTAGATTCTTCTGCTTCTCACTTGCAATCTGGCTTTCTTTCATGCACAGGACATGATAGAACTTGTAAGCACAGTAAGGATGGCCGCATACCAAGAACTTCCTGTTCTCATCTTCACATGTGCCACAATGCTTGCACAAGTTTGCTAGAGCAGTTGTTGAGAGGTCCGGTTCACTGTCTTCATCCATGCTTGACACTGAGCTCTCCTGCGTTTTGATGGCCAATTCAGGTTGGATAACATCTTCAGCGGGTTCTTCTGGCTTCTCCACCACGAGCCACTCGCATACATCGCAGCCTTCATGTGATCTGCCATTGTTGTTATTCTTTGAAGGTCCGTCTAATCCAACACAGCTGGGACAGTACCATTTTGCTGGGGCCTCTTCATCAATGGCAAGCTTGAGACATGAAACATGGTATGCAGCTTCACATCTATCACAGATAATTCTTCCTTCGCTGTCTGCCTTTCCGCCACAATCCTTGCAAATTCCATCCGATCCAGATGTCCCAGTTTGTTTGGGTATCATAGAATGGCCAGAATCGCAAGGGGGAGTCAACTCCCTTAGGGCTTTGTGGGCGCCACCACCCAAATTTGTTTCCTAATAAAGAGTGCAGTTATTAATGAATGGGGTTTAACAAATCCTAACAACAAAACAATGGTCAGCAGACATGTTCATAGCACACCACTCACCTCTATCCTGTGTTCAGCCACATCAATTTCTGAAACGCCAGAAGCCTACAAAGAATATTTCTATAAGCAATGACCAACATAAATGGAATGATTTCAACAATGCACAACGCCCTGAATCAAAATCTATGGCTATCACCATAAATTATGCTAACGAAGCACCAACAGAAAACTCATGTTACCTGCTTTTGATGAGAAGCTTGTGAAATCAGTGAGAGACTGCTTGCCAGACCAGCCATTTGTTGGCCAACATGTTCAATCTTCTTCCATATCTAGATAATAAACAAATATACATACATATTAGAAGAAACAAACAGCATTGATGGTATGTTTTCAACTGCATGTTTATGGTAACTTCTGGGGGTGTTTGGTACATGAATAACAGCAAACAAAAGAATTTACAGATGAGAGAAAAATGGAAAAACAAATATCAGAGGACCTCTTTGGCCATTGAGATATATAGGAGGTACTAACACATAAACCAAATCTAATTGCTTATTCCTTGGCCCCAAAAATATTAAGATAACTTTCCTGATTTTGCCTTCTTTCATTTAAGAACGGCAGTGAACAAGGTAAATAAATGCTTCCTCACAATACATGGATTGAAACATACTTATTGAGTAGTTGCGTATGGCAGCGTGACGCAACCCATGTCCGATTTATGTGCATTCATGACTACCATCGCCTTGTGATTCACTTCAAGAGAGAAGTCCAAGGGAGTTGGCAAGGTGAGGTCAAGGGCAGCGGATGACACGGGCGGCGAGGAACAGAGCACAGATCCATGAAGACCAAGACAGCGGATCCCTTCCCACGAGAAACAGCTATTAGATGTCCTTTATTGGAAAAGGAGGCAATAGATCTCTGATTGGCCTCAAGCCAGTAGAGAAATATGGCTATGAGGTCACATATACGCCCTTTTGGTTGAGCATACCTATTCCAGCTACAGTGGCATTGGAAAATGATTCTGATGTTTGGAATTTGGATGGTTATTAGAAGAATTTGCAAGGGCCAATCCATGCGCTGGAAAAAGGGACTGAAACAGGCAGCGAACACAGGAAGAATCATTCCTAACTATATGACCTTTTTGAATCTATGTAGTCAAACAGACAAGCAAAAGGGACAGGTTTCAAATTTTGAGCATTGAAATAACCTACCATAGGCTCTCAAGTAGAACCACAGCTACATCTTTTTCTATATCAGAGAAAACAGCACAGGAAAAAAAAAAGGAATGAGGCAAACAAACAAATAGGTACTTCGTACCTGTTTGATATCATGGTCAAGCAGCGCAGGGTTCTGTGCATAATCCCCATTTCTCATCTTGGCATCAATTATTTGCAAACCAATCAGGTCATCAGGCTTATTGACATGGAATGTTGCAGCTAGCAGATCACACAGCATGGCAAACTTCTCGGAGATTAGAATGTCAAAGATAGCTTTATGGCACATCGCCTTGTTGGCTTCCAAAGATGCAGCTGTTCCATCTTCTAACTGAACCAAGGCACCACTATTCTCTTCAGAATGTACAGCTCCAACAGGGTCCTCTCTTCCTGCTCCTTGGCCGTCAGCTAAGTTCCCCTGGTAGATCCAGAAAACAAAATAGAAGCTTTTGTTAGGGTGAAGTGAAAAGGTACCATTACGCGAGGTCGGCATGCACAGGTTATGTTGAATCTGAAGGACTGGATGGATTACTAACATGTTCTGTGGGCTGGCAACCATTATATCTGAGCGCATCTCGGATGCAGCTCTGAATCCCTCCGGAGCCCTGGTTCCCAGCAGTGGATTGCAGGACGCCCTCCAGCTTCTCCAGCACCTGTCCAGGTTTTGGCGCCCACCTTGCTGGGAACTGGTGGCGTGCACCACCGCGCTCATCTTATTCTGCACAGGGGAGAAAGCAGGGGAATAAATGACAAATCTCGAGAAGCAAAAGCAATGACTGACCGATAATTCGGCACCCAAGAAGACGTATGCACGCCCAAGAAGACGAGTGCCAGCATTACAGGAAACCCTAGGCTCGAGAGCAAACGCTGCGACATAGAAAGGGAATCTCGCAAGACGGAACCGAAATCTGGCGGCATATGAACGAAATCTACGAGTAACTGAAGGCACCGCGAGGCTGCCCGTGGGCGCAGCCCCCGCGAGGGACATGGAGCCGAGCACGGCGTCCGCGGTGTCTCTGAGCGCGGAGACGGCGGCGGCGAGGCGCGCATCGGGGAGCGGGGACCAGGTCGGGTCCGTCCGTGGAGCGGGCGGCGATCACGCGCGCGAGCAAGGGGCGGAAGACCAGGCTCGGTCTGTGTTTCGCACGAAGGGAAGCGAGGGCGAGCGATGCTCTTATAAATATTTTAGTCGCAGAGAAGAGACGTTGCGTATATTTATAATAGTTTCTAAGTGTTTTTTTAATGTTTTTTAAATGTTTCATACATCTATTTCAAATATTTTATTTATTTTCAAACGTACTTTACTATTGTTCTTTCTAAATGTTTTAAAACTATTTCGAATATTGCATCCACCTCCTCACCTTCGGTTTGTCTCGCTGCGCGGGAAACAGGCGTAGGTGGAGGCAATCCCCACTGGCGTGGGTGGGCCCTATATGGTTGCGGGCGGGCACAACCGGCGTGACATGGGTGGGCAGTCACGGGACGGGAGGCATCGGCGCGGGCATCCGGGGGCTAGCGTCCGGACAGGCGCACTCAAATTTGGCTGACCCGAGCTGCAGGCTCGCGAGCTGGGCTGAGAGGCCCACTCCACCTCCAGCTCTGACTTGGAAGCGCCACCATGTGCGCTCGTGGACTTGGACCTATCGTTGAACGCCTCCGATGGACGTTGTTGACATCCTGCATTCGCAGAACATCTCGTACCTCTTAGACTCCGACAAGGAGGTGAAGCCGTCCGTCATGCAGCTCGCCTTGCAGAGCGGGGGTTCTCCACTCGGCGAAGGTGATGACGAGAATCGATTCTTTTGCTGTTTAGTTTTATTTTCATCTGGATACGATAATACATCACTTCACTTGTTGGGATGGATGCTTGCGTGGGCACAGCATGGACCGAGGACGCCAGTGCGAGCTCATGGCCGTGCTGCGACGACTGCGGTTTTTGCAACAGGAAGCACCCGCCGGAGTGCCAGTGCAATGACATTTCGGTGCACGGGTGCAACCCGGAGTGCAAGAAGTGCGTCAGCTACACGCTCACCGCCGCCGCCGCGGATGGCATTCAGAAGCCGCAGGGTAGTGGCCCCGGCCCCGTCCGCACCTACCGCTGTGCGGACATGCCCACAAACTTCTGCAAGTGCCGCTGCACGCCGGTGCCGGCTGCAGCATTCCTGGGTGAGGTCTTCTGACGGCTTCGGATGCCGTCGATCGCTGCTGCATGCATGCCAATTAGAGTTTGCTTCTCTCGAGCTTCGTCAGATAAGAAATAAATAAATTAATGTCGCCGCTCGGCTCGATGCTTGCTCTTGCTCGAGGCCTTGTAGAACTATCCTAGTTTGGTTTATGATGTTGGGCTGTGACCAGCTTTGGTTTGCCTGGTGTTTTGGCAAATCGCTATCAAATTTCAATTACTTTCTTTATATGATCTCTTAGCTAAGAACATTGGCTGTAATATTTTCTTGACTTGGCATGCCATGGTATTTTGGTCAAACAAGTTGATTGTACTGTCGTCGAGTGCAAATGGTGGGCCTAGCCACAGTCCTAGTTCTTTCTGCATTGAACATTTGAGCACTGATGTTGCTTTATTATCATTTGGTTTGCAGGTCTTTCTAGATATATAAAGTATATAAATGCATAGTAGTGGACATGCTACCGACTGACTGAATCCTTTGCATTGTAATGATTTACAGAATTCGTGGCACTCATTTGATTTGATCCGTGCCTCTGTTTGTTTGTTTTCCACGGGCATCTTCACTCCGATTTTATTTAGTGGGTGTGGAGCCAAATTAGCTGCATTGGCTTGACCCGGATCTGCCCCTTCTCATGCGACGCCAGGGGCGAGTACGCTGCCCACTTAGTGGGGCACGAGGGTGGGTGTCCGAAGCACCAAATCGGCATGCTTGGACGGTGTCTGCTGCCTTCCGAGAAAGCCACAGGGGCAGACGCAGGTGACCACCGCCGGGGCCTCATCCTCCAGCTGGGTGGCCACCGGAGCAATAGCCGCACGCCCCAGTGGTGGCGTGGCTTCCAGCGAGCGTGTCATGAGGCCAAGGTGCCAACGTCAATGGGTCAAGCTCGGGAAGGCGTGTTCTTTAGCCAACTCGCAAAAAAAGGGAAGGAGCGTCGATGGACCGTACCGGAGCAACTGCAGCATCGCCGGAAGAGCCGGTCGGTGCTACCAAGGTGCTGTCCCTCAGCCGCCTAAGGCCGTCTCCTACATTGGCGTCGTCGCCCTCCACCGACATGTGCAACGACAACCGGCATAGGCATAGCTCTGCCCGAGACCGGCGACCCATCGTGGGCAGGTGGCTGAGGTCCCGAGGTGTGATCGCGACAGCCCTAGGTAAGTTGTCGTGGCAGGCCGCCTTTGTCAGAAGCACTGATTCTACTAGTAGCCACCACCCGTGGCCACTTGCAGTCGCACGTAAAGGTGTCGGAACCCGGCCCGCTACAGCGTAGGCAGCACTTCGACAGCCAGCAGGCCATCCATCCGGTGCGAGGAAGAGAGGCAGTTGAGGCACTTCCCGTCTAGGGCGGTCGGAAGGTGGGTAGAGGATTGACGGTCCACCGGACGTGTAGGACGTGCCCTATCGCTACCTCGACGTGTAGGATACGATTGCAGGCATTGGAATGTGGCCCGAGCCGCAGATGGGCTGGCATGCGCAGCACGTAATCACGTGCAACTCGGCTGGCCCCGGCGTTTGCGTCCCAGCAGTGGACACGAAGCCCGCGAATGAGCCGCGGGCGTAGCCTAGGATGGTTGGGGCGCTTGTGGCGCCCGCTTGAATGGTTGCATCACCACTAGTGCCTCCGACGAAGATGGACTGCGGCTGGGCTCTCTCAAGCCGCAATGACATCCTCGGTGGCGGCAGCTCCCGACAAACCGCGTCGAGGTAGGGGGTTGGGGAGGTGGTCGGCGATGTTTCTGCATAAGAGGCGTCGAGGAGGTCATCCTCTGCCCACAACCGAGCCTTGTAGCATGGTCTTGTAACATCTTGCTGAGATTAATTTCTCTAGTACGGTGCTCTTATGTATAATCTAACTAACTAGAAATGGAGGAACACTTCCACAGTAATCACTCATTTTCTTTGACACAACACAAATAATAATCCTTCATTCAGTTCATAATAAAAACGCTAATATACTCCACCGTGGGTGTCCATCCCGCGTTCGTCCGTCCGGACGCTCTCGCTCTCTCAAAAAAAAACTCCCGACGCTCATCCCACTCCACCTCTCTCGTGCGTCCCATTCTGCACAACGCCACACCCACTTTGCGACGCCACCGGCAGCATTCCCCGCAGAGCCTCTATCCCGCAACGTGCTCCACTCCGGAGCACCCCATCCCCTGCCGCGCCATGGCGTGCCTCTTCCTCCGCCGCGCCCAGGCCAGGCGACCAGGAGAGGGGTCCGTCGCTAGCCGAGCCCAGGCCAGGCGCAGCTGGCCGCTGCTAGGCCACACCACCATCCTCGGCCGCCAGCTGGCCAGAACGAGCCATTCCCCCGCTTTGCGTTGCGTCGTACGCAAGAAGAAGGTTGAAAAACGCATATTGCAAGGCTATGTTTCAAGTGTTTCAGGTGTATCATGGGTATGTTGCAAATGTTTCAAATGGATGTTGCAAAAGTAGATCGGGATGTTGCATATATTGCAATGGTTGTACACGTATGTTGCAAGCTTCTATTTCCAATGTTTCATCTGTTTTTTTGCTGACGTGTGTTGCAAGTGTGTATTTGAATGTTGCATATGTTTCGTACCTATGTTGCAACTGTTTTATTCGGATGTTTCATATGTTTTACCATAGTTTTCATGTGTTTTTTTTGCAAGTGTATTAGATGCATATTTCAAGTGTTTCATCTGTCTTCAGACGTATGTTGCAAGTATTTGTATCTAGATGTTTTAAAAGTAGATCGGGTGTTGCATCTTCCTCCTCATCTTCTGCTGCCTCGCCTCGGTGTCTCCTCACCTTCTGCAGCCTTGCATCTTTCTAAGACTGTGGAGGGGGCGCGGCGAGGGCCGATGGAGGGGCGCGTCGGGGGATGGAGGCGTGGATGCGAGCACACACGCTCTCCCCTTCTGTTACGCTGGCAGGAATAGGCTTCTGTTGGACTCTAGTTGGTGGGCAGGGATACTACTTCCGTTGGCCTCCTAAACACACGTATCGAGTCACGGTTACCTAGTGGGAACTGCATCCAGACGTGCTGCTGGGCTCGGACATCCAGGCACTAGTCTCCCCCTAATTAAAACTCAAAAAGAGTTACATGTTCCACTGCTGAGGTATGGTAAAAGGACCAGGCTCCATGTGGTCTATGGTGTGCATGATTGTCGATGTTTGACCACCGATAGCCTGCCATGGGGGTCCCCGGGGCAGTATAGTTCGGGCTTCAGCGTATGCGGAACTCGACGGTGAACGCAAGAGACAGTCGATTTATCCTGGTTCAGGCCCTCGACTGTGGTCGAGTAATAGCCCTACGTTCAGTCGGCGTTAGCCTTTGCGTTGGATTGGTTGTGTTGTAGAAATCGTGATCTCCCGTCTCTAGGAACCCTGCCCTCCTTTATATAGTCAGGAGGTCAGAATCCTAGTCGGTTTTTAATGAGGGTTCTTAGTAGGATTGCAGGATAATACTACTACTAAGATTACATGGGGAGAATCCTAGTTAGACTAGATCTTCTCTCTTCCTTGCGGGGTATCCTGTGGGTCCCGCACCGACAAGCCCCCGAGCACT